GGGGGGGGGGGGGGGGGGGGGGGCGGCTCTCGTCGTCCTGTTCCAGGGCTGCATGGCGCATTCGGGCCCCCCCTTCCTCATACAACGGATGTGAAATAAAACCTCAGCTCGAGACAGTTTGCGGGAAGGGGTGGAGAGCCAGAGGAGATTGGAAGAGCTCCCGTCACATGATCAACATGAGAGCGAGACCCCATCCCTTGTTCGGAGTGAGAGCCGCTTCATTCCGGAAGGTACTCTTCATCTCGCATTGTTTCTTTCGCCGTTGCCGGGTTGGGCATGTGCTTTTTTTCTGGATGAATCCACGTCTCTTGCCTCACGTGTTACAATTTTGAAGGGGGGGGGGTGTGGGGGGCTGTGAGGACCCCATTGTTCGAGGCGCGTCCCTGGGAATGCCGTTTTAATTAGGATTCGGGCCTGGCTTCAATTTTCCACTGGTATTATAAGTCTGACAGTGCATGAAAGCTGCATCTTTCCAGCTGCCGTGAGCTTTGTTTACGGGGTTCTCGATCGGACCGATGAGGGCGCACACTGCTGGGAAAGACTGATGCAGGGAACTTCCTGCCGCTTGTTTGAGGGATATTCATACAGTCGGGTCACACAAGCATGCCCGCCTGTGGCCTCAGGGTGTGACGTGTCGCCGGATCTCCATGTGACTTTCACCGCATTCAGACATCAAGCTCATTTCAAACACTAGAATTCTTCTTATTATTATTATTATTTAATATTTATATGTGAATCATTTTTAACATGGCATCTCTCGGTGATAGAATTGTCGGTCGACTCAGCAGTAGTTAAAAATAAACGCTTAGACTGTGAAACAACACCGGGACTCAAAATGCTCGTCTAGCCGTGAGGAATCGCACGATGCCCGGCGTGGCCGTCAGAGCGTTCCGGAATGTGCGCGAGCGTGCGAATGACACGTCAGACGTTGGTGAGCCGCGGTCCGGCGTTGTCGGTGTGACACGTCGCGGTGGGATCCGAGCGAGGAACATCAGTCTTCTTCTGAATCGGAAACTCGAGGCGTGGAAAGTTACAGGAGGGGAACGGGAAGCGAGCTGCGGTCACTGCATGGGGGGGGGGGGTCCGCTGGAACGCTAAATCTGTTCTTGGATCCGGTGTTTGCCCTCCAAGCCCACCCCAATAGTCGAATAGAGCAGATGGCCGTCTTCTATGATGGTGGTGGGGGTCTGGCTTTAGCTCTCGGACCGTGGGAAAGAGGCTTTGCCCTCACACACCTGATCTGGGCCTCGGATGGATTAATGCAAATCAGAAAAGCGGACGCTGATGTGGGGGTGCTAAAGGGGTGGGGGCAGGGCTTGCTTATTATAATAATAATAATAATAATAATAATAATAATAATAAATCAGTGGCAGGTCAGGTTACTTCACAACCTTTGTTATAATTTTTAATGTTTGCTGTGATTTAACAGATGTTTTATTTACCCCATTTTAAAATTGTATTGTATATGTTCCATTTGTCTGTCGGTTAAAATTATCTTAAATTTAACAATATAGAAATATAAATCTGTGAAGACAATTTTTAAACGTGTGAGGGTCTGTCTATCAAATATATGCAATCGTTTTTTTTTTCCGAAGTGAAATTCTAGCATATCTAACTATATTTTTTGCGTAGAGGATATTGTTGAGAGGAAATCTTGTCACAGTGCGATGTGGCGGTTCGGTTTGGTCACAGCGTCTGACGCCCCTCTTTGTTTAAGATTCTGGGGGGGAAACTGGCTTCTTTTAGGAGGGGTGGCTATTAAAACATTATTGTTGGTTTTACATGATTTTAACAGACACATTTAAGAGCTACATATGTTAAAGAATTAAAAGCCAAAAAGAGACTGATTTTGATAACTTTTTTTTATGTGTTAAACATGCATAGCTGGATTGTAGATATATTTATACAGATTATACAGTGAATTGTAGATATATTTACATGTGGAACCTAGAATATGCGATGGCTTTTTGGGCTGCTGTGCTACGTTGTGGTGCATGCTGGGTACAGAAGGTGCTGGAATGACACAGGCCCTGACAGGACCAAGGGCATAGATGGCCTTTTCTGGCCCGATGATGATTGGGGTGTTTCCATGGCGACTCCAAGACCAGTACCGATCGGGGTCAAGAGATGCGATTAAGCGGCCGGGGGGGGCGCCTTGGTGGCGGCGGTGACTGTGTCATTCTCAGCGTGTGTAACTCACTGTCACCACAGTGACGCTGTGATAACGCACTTCAGGCCTCTGGGTTACTCTGTGATTTCGGTGTTTATAGGTCAGTAAATGAGGCTTCTAAGCAAAAATGACCCCCAATCTCAGATATATATGATACCATGGCACAAGAGTATTGCTATTGTTTTTGCGTTGCGCAGATTAGATCTTTTTCGAGCAGCACGGAGACCGGGTCAGTTCACTCTTTATTTAAAAACAGGTTGTTACACAGAGATGGAATCGTACTTTGGCTGTTGGTGTCCGGTCGATGGGTTTGGTTGCTGAAATTAGGCGGCGTCCCCTTCTTTCTGATGTCGTCTTTGAACTCGGCTGAGCTGAGCCTCATTGTCCTGTCCTGTGTGGTGTCTCTCCATTCCCCTCTGCGTGATAAAACGGGCCTCCCGGTCTTATGGCATCCTGCTCGGCGCCGTCACAGTACCTCAGCTCTCCTCATCTGCAGTGTGTCCTCACACAGGCCCACGAGCCATAACAGCTGATTATAGAGCTCATACTTACCGCAGCAGTCTGAGTAAAGTATCTGCGTTAAGGGATGGAGGTACGACTGTGAACAGGCACGATGAGGCACCCAGGAAGTGCTCCATCAAGGCAAGCTGACCCCCCCCCACCACCACCACCCAAGGATGAGCCATTCAGATTCAAATGCGACCCCCCCTGCATTTTGACTGGCCAGTGTCATCTGTCAAATGGGCGTAATCTGATGGTAATACTATTGTGTGATGATGGAGCAGCACCCCAACCACCACCCACCCACCATCTGCAACAGCCCCCCCAGTAAGGGAGATGATTGTGTTGTATTTAATGTAAAAACATTACAATCCTACCGCGCAGCGTATTTGACACATTCCTGAAGTTCCTGAAAGTGCATTGTGGGAAACCCCATGAATTGTCCAATGAAATGCCTGCGAGCAACTGACAGTGCTAAAGCTGGTTTGCGATGATTCATTTGTTTTCCCAGATGATCTTTTCAAAGTGGGTTTCATTACAAGGCAGCCCCTCATCAGCCTCATCTTTGCTTGTTGGTTTAACTTCACGTCCTGCCGCTGGAACTTGATGGCGTTGTTGTGATGTCGCCCCCTGTTGGTCCACAGGAATGTTGACACGTCAGAATGGCTGTTCTGGGGAACATGCCAGTTTGAAACTCATTTAGCAGTATTCATACTTGCTTTGTTTTTCACTGCAGTACAGGTTGGACTGTGTCATGCAAATATAATCTGAACACATTGCACCTTCCCTTTAAGATGAAGGCACTATACCTTCCCTTTAATTTGAATCCATTGCACCTACATCCTACATCCTACCTGGTTTTATCTCGTTTTTCGTTTCTCTTCATCTTAGCAGTGTTTGAGCACCCAGACTCCTGGCCAAAGGACTCCAGAAGGTCGTACAGATCTCATACATCAGAGGTGTCCCGTCGAGACCCCGAATCACCTCCGTAAAGGATGCCCTGGTGTATAAATAGCTCTAATGAGGTTAAACGCTCTAACGTAACAGTTGTCTTGCACTTAATGTCAAAACGCTGCAGATCCCTCATGGATCGGGGCTCTGCTTGGGGGGGGGGGTATGATCATGGAACTTTCCAGATAAGCATTTGGATATGGATGTAATGCATCTTAATATGGTGGGAATAACTCAGCACCAGACACCCACAGACATGGGTTAGAGGCACACAGCACACACGTGCCCCAGCGGGTGTCACTGTATTAAGAGGTTGGTCCCCATACCCCCCAGGGAGAGAGTCATGCTGCTCAGTGGACCCCCGGTGTCGAATGTAATGAGTTAATGGGGAACAATGGATGGGGGCAATGGTATGGTGGGGGCTTTGCTGGACGCACCCGGGGGCCCGTTGACCTAGCGGGGGGCACCCCTCTGGGGGCTAGAAGGGGCCCAACCATCCCTTTATCCATAATGCAACGTGTTGCGGCCAATCAGGTTCAGCCAATCTGAAGCTGGGAATATGAATATATGCGATATGCACGTTTGTTTGATGATGAGAAGGGAGGGATACTCTGACGTTGTGGCAGGACAGTGTCTTGATGCGTGTTGGTGAGAAGTTGTGCTGTAGCTGTAAGGATCTCTCCGGAACATTCTGCCGCTCTAAAGGCTCGCTCAGCTCCGCACAGCCTCAGTAACTCGGGACATGGAGACCCTCGCCGCGCTCAGCCGCCCTGCTGCGTTTCCGTTTACGGTGTGATAAATGGTGGACATTTATGTCAGATCAGTGTTGTGACTTTTCAAACCGCTCCACCATAAATACAGACCCCGCCCTGTCTGTCCATGACCTTGGACGGCACGCTTATGAGGCCGGACACCACCAGCTCACTGCTCACTGACATTAACAGGCTATTCACTTCGCGGTTACGTCATTCCTATCGTTTTTACATAAATAAAACGAGTTTTGTTTTTTGTTTTTTTAAATCATTGCATATTCGGAAACAAACATATTTAAAATACGATATTTAGTAGTTATTTTAATTTATATATTTTTCTTTTACAGGATGGGAACGTTTAGAGGCTTCAAACAGATAAGACCCCCCCCCACACCCCATCGGTGAGTACCGGAAAAATCGCCGTGTTTCCTCTGTTCATGTTTACCCCCAATGGTGCTGAAAGATGCTCCAAAAAATCTCTGTATTGCTGGTTTTTTTCTACAGGGGTATTTTAATGTTGAACACGTGTTTAGTTCCCGGCTCCGTAATACGTACGTAGTGTGCCGCCGTTGTTACTAAATTCTGTCTCCCCCCTCCTGTCGTTGCTCTGCTCTGGCGTCCGATGGCGGCCACCTGATATTTCACGGTGTGGTCAGAGCACTAATAGGGGGTGTCATTAATTAACTGGGCGTTTTTCTATATTTACAGTAGTTTAAAATAGTACAGTAAATATGGTAATACTCTATTAATGAGGCACCTGCACCTTCGTAATGCCTTTATGATTCAGATCATTCATATCATTTATAGAACATTCATAAGCAGCATGTAAGTATACCATAACATCCTAACATACCGTAACAGATTTAATACACATCAATAACAGACATTATATGATTATAATGTTTGTTATTATAATATAATGCTTATTATTAATGTATATTCAAACTGTTAATGTGTGTTAGCATGTTAAGGTATACTTACATGCTGCTTATGAATGTTCTATGAATGCATTATGAAGGTGCACTGAATGTTCTATGAATGCATTATGAAGGTGCACTGAATGTTCTATGAATGCATTATGAAGGTGCACTGAATGTTCTATGAATGCATTATGAAGGTGCACTGAATGTTCTATGAATGCATTATGAAGGTGCGGTCAATGTAAAGCGTTACTGTATATAACATGTACACGAGTTTTCACATCCAATCAGATAGTGGCAGAGTTTACCTGCTAAGACTCATTAAAACATTAATTTATTACCTGGACTAAATTTATGAAATAATTAGTAAGTGAGACTAGATCATTAAATTAATGATGAATTGGGCTAAGATCCTCACCTAGGGTGTCATTCTGTACTCACAGAGGCCGTGATCGACCCTCAGTAACGCTTTATAACAATTTTATCCTGCTAAATACTCCCAGTACTCTATGAGTATAGCCACTTTTACCAGGTGAGACATTCCTGGGTTTAATAAACACGCCCTGAGGCCCGACCCTGCCCAGAGGTGGGGAGAACGAGACCAGCTGCATTAAGACGAAGCACAAGGTCCAAACTGCACTGCACTGTAAGCTCCGCCCACACGAGTGTGTCAGCCGGCTTTTTTTTTGGGAAACCAGTGATTCCAGTGTAAAAAGGACACTTAAAAAGACATAAACAGGCAGGAGGAGCAACTTTCCCTCTCAGTTTCACATTTTATATTCCCCATTTCCAGGGCTGCCGGCTCTCGCACATCTGGCGTGACGCTCACGCTTTCAGACTCTCACGCACACCGAGGAAATCTCACGGTAAATCTATATTATTCCATTACAAACCTAGACTTAGCTACATCAAAAGCACTGGGGTAGTTTGCACACCCTACAGACTATTTGCAAACTGCTACATACACGTAGATGCGTGTGCATGTGCGTGTGCACACTTGCCTCGAACTGAAAATCTCGCTCCAGCCAGCTGACCAAAGTTGGCAGCCCCGCCCATTTTTCAGTTGGGTTGTTTAATACAGCCGTCCGCTAAAAGCAGTTTTGTATACATCTTTATCTCGGACTTTGCTTATATTTTGGCCAGCCAGCAGCTGGTTTCTTCCATTTGCCCT